ATTGTTACTTAGCTTAATAATATAATGTCATGTTTTCCCTGAATATTAAATGTTTAAATCGTCGTATCTATGACGGTTAGTATATACTTAGGATAAAAATAATATTTATTTACTATATAAGGAACTAATTTATCAATCAATAACATTGTCGATAAAGCTGGGCTCAACTCTTTTAAGTTTGGTATCATAATAATTGAAGTAATTAAACGTGAAAATAATAAATTACAAAATTTCGAGAATATGTATGTGGCAATCTCGCATTAAATATTCTATGCTCAATCGTGTTGCTAAAAAGATATAATAATATGCTCAATCATGCCTATCCTGGCCACGGCGGTGGTTAAGAAAAATAAACTTATATACTCGCGTATAGCGGAATCTGTATAAATAAAATAAAAACTCCTACAAATATACTAATAGTAATTTATCTTTGTACGTACAAACACTACAAGCTACTATTAAAATAAAAATGAACCGGTAGCCGAGTTCAATTCAAGTAAATATAACAGATTCGTCGTGACAAGTGAAGATGTATTATCTTCAAAATGTAAGCAGCTAATAATTTCTCGAATAAAATATTTAAAGCACATAATAATACTAGGTAGGTAAGATAAAAATCATACATTAAACCACTGGTTCTCAAACTGGGGGGCGTGTACACATTGCTGGGGAGTCGCAAGCAGTTATTACGAAGTACAATTTTTATTTTAAAACTTATAGAAAAAATATTAGACCGGAAATCTTTATCTGTTAATCGAGTATCAATAACGGATAACGGATAAAGACTATAAATGTTTGGCCTCAGCGTGTAACTTAATCGTTTTATGTCACGTTATCTGTTTAATAATTCTTGTCTTATTCCGAATATTGTATAGAATATAGAATATAGATAATTTATATGTAAAGTGTGCACCAAAAAAGGTGATCGATTTTTTACAATTTATAAGAGGGGGACGCGAAATTTTCGAAAATCTACAAAAGGGGGCGTAGAATAGGAGTGGTTGGGAACCACTGCATTAAAAGAAAGTATAGCTACTTTAGCTATATATTATCTATAGACTATAATGGATAAAAACATTATTAAATTAAATATAAATTTGACATTTATTCTAAAAATTCTTTATCRAATAAGATGAAAATCTCGACCGCTGCGTCGTAAGAGCCGACACATAATATTTGAAATCTCAGTTATCTGTCAAAATCCATTAATCCGTCTATTCTGTCTATTGTAGACTGTATTGAATAAAAGCAATGATCGCAAAACGTGGACATCTAAGACGGCGTTGTAGATAGGCAATTTGGGGGCATTAATGTGTAGAATTTAAAAACCGTGTATCATACACTGTTTAGTGTTGATAAGATCCTACTAGATACCAAGATAACAAAAAAAAAAAAAAAACCGAACTAAAACAAATTAAGTACTTAATTAAAGGCGCTGGAATGAAAAGTAAGAGCGGACAACTTTTTAACCTTGTAGTCCATAGCTTACAAAAATTATATYAGAGTTTAATAAAATTTTAAATTGGGGAAGGAATGGACGCCAAAACATGTATTGTCGTATTGATAATTGGTTGCCTCCTTGATTAAGTTTCTAGCTACAATCTTTCTTTTATCGTGCACTGGATTTCAAACTTATATCAACGGTGGTCTAGCACGGCATTACGAGTCAATTAGTAGACGAGTTCAATGGCGTCGATCGCCTAATTTATCTATGATGGATTTCATAGTAGATTGTTTTAGATAGCGAATAAGGGGGGGGGAAGGCTGCTGTAAGCACTGCAGCAATCTAGTTGTGGTTTCAGAATTTAACATGCAAAGAATTTTAACTTCAAAGATAATGATTTCAATATAACGAATCATTAATAAAATAAAGCTGATATAACTTTATAGCCTATATTTTTAGTTACAGTATATCATAACTACAGTATTTTTGAAATCAATTAATAATTAAAAAGCTAAAATTATTTTACGTTTAAATGACTAATTTTGTTAAAATTTTAACTTAAAATAAGTATCTATAAAAAAAACTAAAAAGTTTTCATAATTTCAATAGTACTGTGAATTTTCATTTTTGACCTCTCAACACTATACTAACTATAGATCCAGTTTGCTATCAGAAACTACCATCAAAGTTGAAAATCAAATCATTTTTTCTACTACTTAAATTTTCGTGTATTTATCAGGAATTTTAAACTCGCAGCCTGTGACTCAATTTTTAATGGATCACAGCTATCAATTCAATGAAAAATTAATTGTATACAAATTGATTTACAAAAATAAAAATGTATACACTTTTCATTTCGTGTTAATAAGTATGTATATAAAATGATTTTTTATCGATGAATATTGATGCACATAGTAAACTACTATGCAATGTAGCTCAGTACAAGTTTTAMATGTCAACTGTAGATAAAAAAAAATCAATAATCAATACGTTCATAATTAATTGMTCTGGCTTTTGGCTAAATAAAATAAATTTGTGTTGGGTTAACCATAAAATGTAGTCATAACCCATATAAGAAATAATTATAAATTTAATGTACTAAACTATGAAGCAACATAGATATGTGGTTCACTATATCTCAGAAGAAATGTTGCATGTCACAAACAATAGATAACAATTACAGTACACCATTCAAAAATTATAACAAGAATACAGAATACTTACATATACAAGAAATCAATACCAAGTTGTTCATAATAATAATTATAATTTATTATAAGCAAGTTTGTTATATTATACACATGTACATAAAAAAAAATATATAAATTTATATATTATGTTTATAGAGATTTATAACTGTGAATAAAATAATTTTAACTATAAAACAAAAATGTTTAACTGCTAATAATATAATATAACAAAGAATTTTTTATTATCCCAATAAAATATATAATCCCATTGATAAGAATTAAATTTAAATACATACCAACTAAAGAAATATACGAATAATTTTCCTCCCCAACCCGATTATTTCTAATTTATTAATTGCCTAGTTATCATTATTTTTTTTATGTAAGTAATGATTACTATAATGATAAAAAAATGTATTTTTTTGATAATGAAATTCACATAATTATAGTAAAAAAATTGAAAACATTTTTTAAATATTTTTATGTTCCATAATAATATATTTTAATACTAATTCAAAGTTTAACGGAGATCATTTTATACAAATTTTTCAAAACTTAGGTCATTTCATTACATAAAAAGAAACTGGCACATCAGATAATYGTTGATTTCGATCTTACACATATACAAATACATAACTAATGCATGGAGTAAGTATACAACCATAAATACTAACATCTTAACATAATGAAATAATAATTTAAAGTTTCAAAAAAAAAAATTGTACATAATAAAACATGCTATGAGACTACACAAAATAATTTTATTATTATCAGCTAAATAAGACTAGAATACAAAAGGACAATGTAATTTGATATAAAAAGTCAAAATTATAAGATTGTTTAATATGAAGGAATGACTTGTAAAAATACATTTGTAATAATAATCTTAATATAATTACTCGTGAGCATATTAAGTATTTAGTATAATCATATATAATGTACAAAGTAATTGATACATAAATTTGTCATTGACATGAAGGCCAAGTATTATTTTTTTTTTTGTTTTTTAATTTTCAGCAATTTGATATAACATTAAAATGAGGAACACTAGTTCAATCAATATTGTTGACTTTAARTTTACACTTTCAAGAAATCAGTTAATTACTTGAAGGATAAACATTTTCAGTATGATTACTGATTTCCAAATTGCATGAGTAAATATAATTAACTACCAACAGTACTTAATTTTTTAAAAATAGATTATTATTGCACATTTAAATAATCTAAGTCGTCAAGACAGAATCTATCGATCAAAATAAAATATTTATAAACATAAAGTAAACTAGAATACATCTGAATTACAGTAACCTATTACAAAGACACGTGTTTTAATAAAAAATCTTACTGTTGGTGTTATCAGTATAAAATGCATCATTTGTAGCTACATGAGGGTTTGCACTCTTCAGCTGTTACAGGATATTTTTTGCCGCTCCATGGCGGAGTTAATAAGTTTGATGGAGTTACTGGGCCTTTCACTCGGGATAACTGGATAAGTTCAAATCTACTCTGTGCTAAATCCTAAAAATATAAACAAATTCTGTTAAGACAATTTATTACAAAAGACTATTAATAACAGTTAATATAATTTTAATCAAATACAATTCTACTACACACATTAAATATATTAAATTAAGACATGTACCTTTTTTTACATCTGAGTGCAAAAATTATAAATAAATAAAAATGAGAAAATGCTTAGAATTTGTTGGCAATCCCTAAGAAAAAATGTATGAGTGATACTTACATACATATCCATGCTGACTAAGTGTTGTTGTTTAACATGGGTGCCATCTACTTGTTCTGAATCATTTTCAAAATCAATTTCTTCATATTGGTATTCTTCAAGAATTACACTCCAATATACAGACATCCATTCAACACAATTACAGACATTTCCTTCAGATAAACCTAAATAATAATTTGAAAACACTGTTTAATTATTACTGAAAAATCAACTAAGTATTTTATAAACTTACCGGAAATGGTTAGAGCAATTTTTTTATTTAGTACTATAGTAAGAGCAGACGCCGCTAATTCACTATATGAGTATCGTAAACTAGTTGAATCTAGACTAGCTAAATCTAAAAGATGAGCCACCTGATTGAATAAATTTTGAGGAAATTGTGGAACAATCAAACTGTCTTCAGCTGTGCTATCATCAACACAAATGAATTGCAACATCAATTCTACCCAATAGTTTATAGAAACAGGTGTTAAACGGAAACGCAAATGCTAAAAATATACATAACAAATTAGTTATTCATTGGAGTTATTATTGAAATATAAAAYTTCATGAAATTATTATTGATGTTTAATTACCATTAATAAAATTTTCTCCATATCTAACAGGTCTTCATCAGTACATGCACCATCAGTGACATAAGCAAATTCAGTCAGTTTGGGAGGGTAAATTTCTTCCATTTTAGCGGCCATAAATAGACAAGTGATTCCTAGATACAAAAAATAAGTTAACTCTAAATTAACTTGTCTTTTTATGGCTTTAGAATTAAAACTGGGAAAGTGTAATTACCAATGAGTTGTAATTTTTGTTTAGGAATAGAATCACTGTTTGATAAATATCGGTCTAAATAATCCATAGCTAAATAATATGTTTCTCGATGTAACTTATAAACAGATGACACCTAAAATCAAATAAAAACATTTTAGATTATAACATATAAATTACTTGAAATATAATCATAATTTATTATGAAATAATACCTCAATTAACCAATCTAAAAGAATAGCTCTCATTCGAGGTGTTATATGTTCATGGCTATCTTGGTAATCAGGATTCCTATAAGTTAATGTAGCAGAATCTCTATTACATATCATCTGCCAAAAATCTGCACGTTTCCCCCAAGGAATTTCTGGCAATGGACATGGTCTGTCATTTAATGCAACAGGTCTCTGGTTGATGGCCATGTCACGGAATCTGAAACACAATGATAGGATAAAAAATGTAATTATATTGTTCATTACATTACTAAAGTAATTAATAACTTACTTGCTCCAAGTAGTAACTATAGTATTTCCCACGCTTTCTTGAATGGTTGAATAACGTGGAGTAGGCACATATGAAGGTGGATCATTTTCAATATTTTTCTTAGGTTCAGAACTATCAATACAATCTGGGCTTAGTTCATTGTCAGATAATAATGGAGCAGGTTCACTGAGAGCTGGACTACTAGCTTCTGATTCCGACCTAAGTATATCAGATAAATTATTGACAATTTTCACAATTKAAATTATTATTATTATTTTATCACTTACCTATCATCTGAATAAATTGAATGAGAGTCTGGAGACAAAACTTGTAACTCAGATAATGGCCGTCGTTCTACACTTCCATTATTACCAACAGACAATTGTTGGAAGGAATCATTATTTTCGGAATTAATTTGAAATGGATCAGAGTCAGCTCGTACTCTGGAGTTTCTTTGTAAATTAGTAAAATATTGATGCTCACTATCGTCCGATGGTGACGACTGTGATGAACTATGTAATTTAGATCTAGATAAAATACTTGGGAGCTCAACAGGACTATGGTCAATTTTCATCCTCTTGCCAGACACAGTACCATTATGTAAATAACCTTCAGAGTTCTAAAAACACAAATAATTCAAATGTTAAATTAAAACAAATTATAGGCTAATACATGGATATATAGCTCAATCAAAAAACTTAATCATTATTTTAATTTTATTAGTACCAAACTGCTAAATGCTAATATCTATTACTATTGTCTAATTATTTGATACTAGGTATGTTTTTCTAAGTGAAATTATTTAAAAAATATTGCAAAAAAAAATAGACTTACATGTCTTTTTCTTTTCAAAACACCATCAATGTTAGATGAACTGGAGTCATTCATTGTAGTTGACTGTGATGAATGAGTCTGAAAAATAATATTAATTTCAAAAATCATAACTATGTTTTGTTGTTTATCATAAAATTWAATTTTATGAAAATAGAAACCAATCAATATTTGTAAGACAGTACACTTACATAATCTAAGGTACATAATAAACATAACTATATATACATAAAGCAGCAAAAAAATATTTATATAAGTATTGCTGAATTGATTTACTATTATATATTATAATTAACTCTTCAAAATAGACAAGTAAATATTATATAATTTAATCATTAGGATAAGATTATTCTTGAAGATCAAATGTATGTTTACTGCTTACACACAGGATATATGCAATAAATAATTAACTATAATAATATGCCATAGTAGATAATATTACGCGTATGTGAGTGGAAGGACAGCCACCCTTACCATTCAGATTAAAAATATGTATGAATTATGATGTAAATTATGATTAAATTAAAATACAATACTTGAAATAAAATTTACCAAACASAACTCAAGTAAAATTTGTAATATACCTACTGATTGAATATTTTTTGCTTTAATAGTAGGTTGTAGTATAGAGTTAATTGATGAACTGGAAAACTTGGAATATTTACAACTACCAAAAAAAATTGAATTTGTAGTAGTTAGGTATATTTGTACCTATATTATATACTTTTAAATAAATTGTTATTTCTAAATAAAAATGAATACCTACTGTTATAAATTAAATTAAAAACTATAGATTTATGTAATATACGAACATGTATTCTGCAATCATGAAGATGTCAAATTTTCGTTGATTTACAATGAATGTAGTATTCCACTCATAATAATATAAAGTACTAAAAAAAAAAATCGGAAATTGCTCGCATGTAATACACAGCACACATTACCCTGYCTAATAAAAAAGGTAAAAAAAAAAATAGCACAAGGTATTGTTTATTTTTTTTATATATAATTTACTATGATAATTGCGAGTATGARAGACGAAGACCAATAAGCAGTCAATTAATGAGCCTTAATATTTTTTAGTAAAACATGAATAGATGAATAATTGAAAACTATTTCGAGCGATGAGTAGTCAACAGCATACGACGGGCAAATGTCTCGTCCAGAGAATACAAAATTACAAAATAAGGTAAAGGTGAGAACGACAAGAAAATAAAAAAGATGACGCGTGCATTGAACAACGACATTGGGCGGGCTTTTGGGTTCGGGCGGTGACGCGGTGGTGGCGGGAAACGCGCGCGCCGCAAGAGTACGTGGATGATGCGAGGAAACGGGCGCCAAAAGCGTTTTCCCTATTGTCCGCCTATTGCGCGCGAGTTCCGCGCTCCACTACTAAGGGGGCCCGCCACCGCCACAGCCGACCGGCAGAGGTCACCGGAATCGCGATCGTTCGTTTTCTGCGCGCACAAAACCACCAATACCTACCGGACGGACCCCGCGGTGAGATTGTTCAGTTTTTCGCGAATAACCAACAAAAAAAAAAACAGACAAATACAAACTTCGTACAATCGACGAAGACAATGTTTTTYGCAGATTCCACCAAATGCGAATTATTTTAACGTCCAGCAAAAGATCGCAACAATAGCATAAAATACATTATAGACTTACGAGTGTATCGTCGTGATGCGGCCGTCAAATCGTCCCTTCCGGCAGGAGACCGCACGGGGGAGGGACGAGGAGTGTGCGAATCGGCACGTAGCACCTCGGACCGGCGACGACACGAACAGATGGACGTAGATCATAGACTGAATTAATAACCGTTGTTAAAAAAAATTTATCGAGTCGACAAGCAGTAAAAATACGTTAAGTAACAACTTAAAATAGTTCGATTACAGAGGAAACGAGTACTTCGGCGGCGAATTGTAGCGTATCCGGAGCGAAYTAAGTGTGTGGCGCGTATCAGGGTTCACGGCTAACGAGCGACTGGTCGGGTYCGGCTTCGGCGGCGACAGGCGAAGAGACAATGATCCCGACTGTGGCCACCGATGGCAGACGGAACCGGTTATGAGCAGAGGGGCGCGCGGCGCGCAGGAATGCAGGCCCCCTTTGCGCGCGCGCGGGCGCTTTGTTGACAATACGGATCAGCTGATCGGGCCGGCAACAGCTGACCGTCTGGCGCCGACGTCTGCCGCGCGGTAGATCCCGCCTAAAAACAACACAAGCACACGCGGGCCGTCCACCGCCGTGGCCGCGAGTTTGCCGCCAAAACAAAGCTGTCCGTGGCGATAACGCCAGTGGCGCGCGCATCGCCTGCAGATAGCGATGCGATTACGTTATACCATAAAGAACAATAATACTATCATTATTGTTTTTTATTTACTATTCTCGTCGTCCTACGTTTGGAAAACACATTTTTTTTWAAATTATTAATTGTTATTGTTGTCTTCATCGAATATGTATACAAGTACCAACTACAATATTATAACCGGAGCGATGACGACAAAAAACTAAAACTGAATAATATCATTATAATGTGCAGTTAGTTGATCCTATACAATAAAATATTTTTATTTTTATTTGAAATAACGTAGACGATCTGCCGATAACGCACTCGTGAAATAGATCCAATTTTTGTGTCCCATAATCGGACKTCATAGCGGACAATTATTATTTAACAACGAATATAAATTAAAATATATATATATTATACATCTAAAGCTGATAAATCGGGATGGCAGATAATATTCCTGTTGATAGAAAAGTCTGTGGTCTAACAAAAATTAATAATGATCTTTAACAATATTGTCAAATATTTTGATGTAGTTAAGTCGATAAAAACATGCCATCGCGGGTTTTTACTAATTAATAGATTTTTCTAATTAAAATTTTCCTGAGTTTGGTACCTTTAAGTACAAAAATACAYAATAAAATACCGACACTTTACAACAGAACACATAAATACGACATGACTGACGTTACAAGTGTTCACAAAAAAAAATTATAAGTTACAACTAACAAATTTTACCTTCGTACTAACTACTTATCTGTTGTTATACTCCGATAAAAAAAAAAAAAACACTAATTATAACATTTATGGGCTGCAACAGTGTGYATTACCTATACTATTATCCTAGTTAATGAATCAGAAGAAGTCGTTTACAGTTTATACTATATTAAGGTCGTTACTTGTATCCCAAATAAATAACAACCCACACAATTATTGAAATAGGTTCGGAAAGAAACGTTTTCGGGGTTTCCTTTTGTTATGAAAATAATTTTTGGAGGGATTCTTGACCATGACGTTCACACAAACGCGCCTATGAAAATGTATACTACATTATTTCTGTACATGTAACGAACAGTTTGGGTATCTAGTATCTCCAGGTATTTCTCGTGAAAGGTTATCATGAATACGAACACGTCAAAATTATTATTTCTAAAAGATACTCAGTACTAAGTAAAAAATATCTCTATCCAAATAAAGTAACACGTGATGTTTTATGTAATTAATAGTTATGGGGTTCGTTACAAAATTAATACCATTTCTAGTATTTATACGCACTATAAATATATTATATTCTCACTTATTTTATGCGCATAAAAATTATAAAACGTGCTTATAAAGTCATCATTAAGTGATTTGATAAAATATTACTGATAAACATAATTAGATTAAAAATTATTTAGACAACACATTATTTGTTGTTATTAAATAAATGGGAGTTGACGGTTTTTATAAAAAATATTATAATGATTGATGACTAATAAGTAATGCAATTAGTTATTTCTAAGCGGTACAAATAATAATTTATTTGATATATTGTATGATTTTATCTGACAAATTTTTATTCAATAAATATAATAACATACTACATTCAACGCATGAATACGCAATGTATTTTAAATTAAATTGTTGGTTATTACTTATTAAATGCATGGTATGAAATATCCTTATTGTATATATATTGTATGATAAATATTYTACTCTACCTATTATAATATCGTTATACATAAATCATCATCGGGCAAATTGAGATTCGTAACGGGCTGTTATGATTAATTTTCACGGTCGTAATTATTCTAAAAAGGCGTTGTCCATCGACACTTTTATTTAGAGTTTCGTTGAAAAGATTTTTACCGACGCCTGTCGTCGTACCACGACAAAACGAGACCCCCGGAGTGCCATCATAAATACATGCATTAAATTATATATTATGTATACGTGCCTACATCCACCATGAAAAAAGTAATAACAATAATGCCCATCACTGTGATCAATGAGTATTAAATTTGGATTCACCTGCAGCAGCAGTTGTAGAACGATGCTATTTTGTTTCCTGTGCCGCGMAAAAGAGAACCAACAGAAACGTACGCAAAAACCCGTCGGCCCAATCGTGGGTAGCGTTCGAAATCTTTATAAGCATAATATTATTTTCTATATAATGTACAATATAAGACAGCCACCACCAGCATTCCATTTACGTTGTTTTGGTTGGCGCCAATTGGTCTTTGTAGATACAAAAGGGATTACATATCATTACAAGGCCGACGCGGTCCAGAAACCATATATAAGTATATATATAACATAAACATACGTACAGGTCTTGTCCTTTGGCAGCGACGGCTATACTCAGAAAGTACCCTCTTTTGTCCTTAATGCAGCAGGACAAGAAACTCGGCATATTATTATTACAAACAAGTCGTCCGGTCCTGCGGGATATTTTGACGCACTCACTGTAATATTATTATTATTGTACGTCATACGTGTAGTAATATCGTAGCTGGCGACTATATAAATATATACTATAATTGTATCTAATCATTATTCTACATGTATATATACAAATACACATGTGAAACCAAAAGGACGTCCGTTCGGTAGTTACAGTACCGTGACGTATATACTATTATAATATTGGGATATTATAATGTAATATAATGTCGTCTTCGAGTCAGCAGAATTCAGAATAATTACCCCACAGTGGCCTGCTCGTGACAGGTGTTGAAAAAACTTGACCGTGGAACGCGATCGCGATTCTAAAAACTATATGGAGCCGTAGAAGGCTATTATATTATTATTAAGTCACTGTATAATTTTTTTCATTTTTTTCAACTTTTCGATATTACAATTAAATTATTCTATTTACCAAATACTAATTTTAAGTATGCTTACTGAATAACGCATAGCAATTGCTGACTTTAACAATGTTGATACGAAAAATAACTAATAAATAATAACAAAATTGTTTATGATAAAATAACAATTGCTGCCTTTTTGTTATGACTTCATTTGAAATCGTTTTCTAAGATTAAGCTCCTTAATTATTTTTTAAGTAATTTGAAATAGATAGGAAATGGATTTTAAAAACCAATGAGATAATAACCAATTAACAGTCAACATCTAGGTGAGACATTTTCTTCTCCTTAATAAATAATTATTTAATTGTACTTTTGATCGAATTAATAAATACACAATATAAATTACTGGTTTAATTCCAACGCCAAATGAATTATTTTCTAATMATTTGACTAAATCATCAAAATATTATATTGGTGTCGTTTTCGAACGAGTCTCAAAAGTAAAATTCCATGATAATACTTTAATGCGTCATTAATACGAATTAATTTACAATGAAAATGAAATATCTTGGCAATAAAAAATTAAAAACTACATAAATGTATATTATTCGTTTGGACACGGTTAATAGGTGTATTAAAACATGAAATAAAATATAAATATATGYAGACTAACTATAACAGTCACTGTCGAATGATCGCTTAGTTCTCTCACGTGGTCTTTGGAGGTAAATATATGAGTACTGTAAACGAACACATGTTACATCCAAAAACCGGCAAAGATTCGCGTGACTTAGCATCGTGGGAGATGTAACAGCTTAGAGAGGGTAAGCCCCTACTTAGGAAAATGTATATTAGTCATTGATATAGCTTAAATTAATCAAGAGTACACATTTTGATAAATATTTGAGTGGATTATAAAGATAACTTTTATTTCAGTGAAATGTCAAATAGAAAATACAACAGTTACGAGTTGTAATAAACGAATCAACTACCAAGTAGTAATAACCTCCATATTTATAAAACATAGACAGACTAACAAAATTGAGATTTTTCATTTTTTCAATACATATAGAACGATTTTAATAATAATATCAACAATGTTGTACACACAAGTTTTAAGTTACTATTTTTATTTGTTCAATTTATYCAGCCACGTTATTGCAGTATAGTTTACTCAACATATAACATCATTAAATATAAACTCGATT